TGCGCCGCTGCCGCTGCCACCGCTTCTGCGCAGGGTGGGACGCGCGCGAACGCCCTCTGCCACCCCCGGGGGCGGCACCCGGGCGGTTTCGGAGTGATGGAGCAAGAGGGCCTGAATACACCCGGCATCCCCACCCTGTCCCTTCATCCATCCGCGATGCCAGGTGGGATCTGGCTCCTCAGCCCTCCCCAGCACGGCATGGAGCAGCCAGCCCGGTTGTTACAGTACAACTTTTTATTAATACTGGAGTCTTCACAGTGCATTCGTTACTTGTAGCAGTGACTATCGGGCCAGGGAGAGGTGGCGAGGCGGGGGAATGGGAGAATTACCACGAAAACAAAACAAAACAAACAAAAAAGCCCCCCAAAACCAACCAAACGAAAAGCCCCAAGGGAGGGAATAAAAGAAGAGAAGAAAAAAAAGAAACCCGGATGAGGGAAGGAGAGGGAAGCAGAGGCAGAGACAGGAGCACTGGAGTGGGGAAGGGGGGAAATAAATTAAAAAAAAAAGGAACAAGTTAACAACAGCACCAGAAAAGTTACTTCCGCCGAAAAGCTTTTTTTTTTTTTTTCTTTTCCAAGGATTTTTTTTGTTGTTCTCTGTACAAAATGAGAAATAAACCCAAAAAGACCCAAACATTTGTCACTTGTCATCATCATTTCTGGTCACAAGAAGGGGCTGGGGTGGGCGGGCCGGGGCGAAGGGTAACTAAGTCGTTATTACTAAGACCAAGTAAGAAGGGGACTGCGATGCGACACAGGTCGGGACGGGCGCGAGCTATGTACACCGTGGGGCTGCCGGGGCAGGACGAGCAGGGGGCAAGGGGAGGTTGTGCTTTCTTCAAGGCTCCGAGCGCATCCATGCGGATCGGGCAGCCGGAGTGGCCTCGAGGCAGAGCCGGGTCCTGGTGGCCACAGGACGGGTCCCGCTGCCGGCCCTGTGCTGCGGCCCCCCTCCTGCCCCGCTCCGAGCTGCGGAGGAATTGGGTTAAGGTGGGGGAAAGTGCAAGGAAAGAGATGGAAGGAGAAACAGAGGAAAGGAGAGGAAGGGGAAAAAGAGAAATGAGAGAAAAGATGCAAAAAGAGAAGGGAAAGAAGCAGGAAAGAAAGAGGGAAGGAAAAAAAAGCAAAGGAGAAAGAAAGCAGGAAAAAAGAACCAAGGAGAGCAAAAAAGAGAACCAACAAAAGCAAAAGAGCGAAAGGGAAAGAAGAAAGAAAAATTGAGAATCACAAAGAAAAAAGCAAGGAAAAGGTGAAAGAAAGCAAAATGCACATGCAAGAGAAAGCACAAGCAAGAAGGAAAAGGAAAATGCAAGAGGAATAAAGTGAGAAAAGCAAGCAAACGTGAAAACAAGCAAGAGAGAAAGCAAATGCAAGAGAAAGGGAAAGCAAGCAAAAGCAAATGCAAGAGAAAGAGAAAGCAAGCAAGCAAGAGAAAGCAAATGCAAAGGAAAGAAAAAGCAAGCAAGAGAGGAAGCAAGAGAAAGAGAAAGCAAGCAAGCGAGACAGAAAGAGAAAGAAAGAAAGGAGGAAAAGAAAGCGGGAAGCAGGAAAAGAAAAAGCGAAGAAGGACAGTGAGAAGGCAGGAGGGAAGGACAGACGCCAGCCAGCCTCTGCGGGAGCGGCTGCGTGGTGGCTCGTGGGGACTTGCGAGCTCCTGGGCGCCCCGTGCGCATTCTGGTCCCGTGAGTCACCCAGAAGCGCCGGGGAGGCTGCGAGTGAGCAGGGAGTGAGGGACAAGGTACAAAAGGGTCTCGGGACCCGGCTCGGCGCGGGCTTTCAGTCTCCGTGCGGATGCAGGCTCTGCCTCTCCCTCTGCGGAGCAGCCTCCCGCCGGCAGATCTGCTCCTTGGGGTGCTGCTTCGCTCTCTTCCCAGGGACACGGGGCGGCGGGACGGCACGGCGAGGGATGGGGCCGGCGCGGACCAGGGGCTCCATCACAATATCCGTGGGGCCGATCTGTCGTTGGTGACGGTCCTCCGCAGGCGCACGCCGCGCCGGATGGCCACCAGCATGTCTTCGGCCGGGGGGTCCATGGAGGCTGCTGGCGGTGGAGTAGGTGTCTCCTCACCGGGGCCGGGGCCCGACAGCGCCGTAGGGAAGGGGAACTGCCCTTCGCCCAGGGCATGGGCACTGGCCACCAGCTCACCGATCTTCTCCACCAAGCTGTGCCGGTTGGCAGCCAGCTGCTGGTCCTCCTCTTCCTCAGTGGAGAGGTGCTGGCTGGCCCCTGGGTAGACGGAGATCTCCATGACGTTGCTGCCCCAGGCGGTATTGGGGAGGCTCAGCCGCTTGGGCGAAGCTTTGGCAAAATCCATGGTGCCTGGTGAGGCGTCATCAGCGTAAAACACGCACTCTTCGCTGCCTACCCGCGTGGGGCCGGTGTAGCCGGGAGAGTCGGGCACTGTGGGGGTCTTCACGGGGACGATGGGGGGCCGGATGGGGATGGGGCCCGCGTTAGAGAGGGTGCGGCGGACCGAGGGCTTGGTGGAGGGCGTGCGGCGGATGGGGGCGACCCCCGGCGTGGGGCCGGCCGGCGGGGTGGGGGCCCCGGCGGGATGGTGGAGGACTTGTCGAACTCGCTCTGGGGCTCGCACTCCACGTCGCCGTTCACAGAGTAGCAGTCGTAGTCGGAGCCTGGAGAGGGGGAGTCCGGTCAGCACGGCCAGGGGGACAGTGGCAGCCCGCCTGCCACTGCCCGGCCCAGCCACCAGTGTGCCCATAACCAAGCTCAACCACCACTGCTGCAACACGAGCACAGCCCACCTTGGTCACCGCCACCACAACCTGCTCCCTGCCAAAGCCCAGCACTGAAGTATGATCCCAGCCACCACCATCACTGCTTGACCACAAATCTGGCCATCACCATCACACTGAAAGCACAGCTGACCCCAGCTGTCACCACCGCGAGATAACAGCCCAGCCCAGCTGTTATCATCACCATGTGCTCACAACCGCCCTAACCATTGCCATCACAGTGTGATCACAAACATAGCTATCACCACCACCACAACACAGTTCCAACCAGCCTCAACCACCGCTATCACGCGATCACAGCCATTCCCAACCATCACCGCAGTGTGGTCACATCCATCACCACGAGGACACGATTACACCCGACCACAACTGTTTCCATGGCTACTTTATCGCCAGCCACCATCCGACACTAGCCCAACTCTCTGGTGCTGAATCACTGCATGCAAACACATTGCCACGAACCACTGCCTTCAGACGGTGTGTCAGGTAACACTGCCTGGCACCACGGGAGCCACCACGGCACACACGGCACAGTCACAGCCACCACTGCCAACAGTCAGAACTGCTCCCGCACCACGGGTGACTCCGCCAACGCTCCAAGGACTCATGAAGCGATCGTGGTTTTGTGACACACACCTCAGCACGTGCAGTCGTCATGTCTGCCCACTCTTACCACTCTTACCCCAGAACAGCGCTGCAACCACAGCCTGGTCCTGCCACGCCAAGCACGGGCCCAAGCACCCAGGAGCACAGCTTCTCCAACAGCACGTGCCCAGGTTGCTCAGCAGGCAGCCTCATGAGTCACGCAACAGGCCCAAACCCTACGCCTCGTCCCACACAATTGCAACAACTCGCTCTGTGCTGCAACCGTTGGCCCACAACGTTGGCAACAGCCTTGCACTGGCATGGGAAGCAAGGGCAGGGCTGGGGTGCTGGTGGTTCCCGGGGCAGGTGTTGATCACGACACAGCAGAAACATCCACAGGGAGCCCGTGGAGAAGCCAGCACGTTTCTGTGCCAACGTGCGGTGTGGGAGGACTGGCACAGTACCACGTTACACCCAAGGGCATCAGTAACATCCCGCATGGCAACTGCTCCGAAAGGTGCTCACTGCTCTCTCCTGTGGTGCCCCCTTTCCCACTGGGAGCGAGCCAGGCCCGCAGCACTGCTACCTTGGGAAGGGATGGTGTCCTCGGAGCAGGACGGGGTGGTCGTCTGTGTGCTGTAACCGCTGGAATACTGCAGCGAGTCCCGGCTGCTCTTCTGGTGCTCCAGGCTCAGCCCTCGGGTCAAGACCATGGCCAGGTCGCTGGCAGCGGGGGACACCTCCTCGCCATGCTGCGGCAGGAGAGGAGTCACCTGTGAGCACCCCAGCGAGCTGGCCACCCCGCCGCGGCCTCGGCTACCCACAGTGCCACGTGGTACCCGCCCCCAGCCCCTCACCTTGGCAGCAATGGTGGCTGGTGACATGCGGGGCCTGGGAGCTTCCTCAACGCTGATGCCTGGGTAGCCCATGGCGGCCGAGGCCATCTCAGCTTCCCGCAGATGCTCCACGCGGTCCTTGCGCCTCTGCAGGGTGCTCACCACGGGCTGCTCGTAGGGGCTGGCCTTGGACCAATCCTGCCAACAGAGCCAGGCACCGGCCGGTGAAACCAGAGAGCCAGGGCAGGAGGAGAGAGGTGGGGACGAGGACGCGCGAGGGAGCACCAACGGGGTGAGTCCTGCTCCAGGGAGCAGGATGCTGGGCTGGCAGAGGGAGGCAGGGAAGACAAGAGAGGAAGAGGAGGGCCTTGCTGAGGAAGATTCAGCCTCCTCGCCACCGGCCCTGCGGGCAAGCTCGCACTAACCGAGGTGGGGGAGCTGCACTCGCTAACCGACTGGCAGGTCTCCGAGGCCTCTGC